TTTGTGCAAACTCAAACCCTAATTTCAGGTCATTAGTGCAAGATGAGGTCTTGAACTGAGCAAACCTTAATCTGGTCTTGAGTCCAAGAAGTCTTGTGAGGAGAATCTTGATAAAATGAGAGGGAAAATTTTGGGGTACAACGAACGCCTTACCAGTATGTTTTATATCATGTGCTTGCCTAGTAGTGAAGTGAAAATAAAGAGGAGTGTGTTTGATAACCAGATCCTTAACTTTCTTAGGTTGGGATACTTTACCTTTGTATCCTATACTTATTTTGCAATTTCTGCTAACTCCATAGATCATTGAAGCCATCTTGCTTCTGTATATGTTTTTACCGAGGAATTTCTGAAAGCTGTGATCATATTCCTTTATGATTTTATCAGGGTTACTAGGAACTTCTGAGACAGTTTCCTTCTGAGTATTTTGTAAATCATTTTCAAGTTTTAAAATTTTTCTTTTCAACTCAGAGTTTTCTAGTCTCAGATTCTTAGTTTCTTCAGAGTCAGAAACTAGATCCTTTTTCAGGTTCTTGTTTATGACTCAAAGCTTTTGATACCTTTCTAGAATTTCTGACAGACTCTCCTCTAGTTGAGATCTAGAAAAGTTAGAAAATACCTCTTCTGACTCCGAGTCTGATTCTGATTCAGAGGATTCAGAGACATCTGATAAGTTATCCGTTTGAGCTATATTGGATTGTTCATCTTCTAATTTTGTTCCGTCTTCAAAAGATTCAGAGTCATCCCATGTTGCCATAAGACTTTTCTTCTTCTCCTTAACGAACTTCCTTTTAGGTTTCTCCTTCTGAAGCCTTGGACAATCACTTTTGTAGTGACCTTGTTTATTGCATTCATAGCAGGTAATGTTTCTGTTACTGGATTTTCTGTATCCAGAAGATTGTTCAGAGTCATTTCCTATTCTTCTGGAGTTTCTGAAATTCTTCTGCCTGTGCTTCCACAACTGATTGATTCTTCTGGATAGAAAGAACAGTTCGTCTTCTTTGGACGAGGATTCACCATAGTTTTCTGCTTCTTCTTTTTCTTGCAAAAATTTGGTTTCATATTTATTAGATTTCAGAGCGAGAGACTTACCTTGCTTCTGCGGCTCATCATCTTCTAACTCTATCTCATGGCTTCTGAGAGAGCTGAAAAGTTCTTCTAGAGATATTTTGTTCAGATCTTTTGCCAGTTTGAGAGCAGTGACCATGGGTCTTCATTGTTTTGGTAAACTTCTGATGATCTTCTTTACATGATCAGTAGTTGAGTACCCTTTGTCCATAACTTTCATCCCAACCACCAGAATTTGAAATCTAAAGGACATTGTTTCAATGGTTTCATCTTCTTCCATTTTGAAGGCTTCATACTTCTGAATGAGCACAAGGGCTTTGGTTTCTTTTACTTGTGTGTTGCATTCATGCGTCATTCTTAAAGAATCAAACACGTGCTTTGCTGTCTCTCTGTTTGTGATCTTCTCATACTCTGAATATGAGATGGCACTCAGGATAATAGTTATGGCCTTGTGATAATTTCTGAAGTCTTTCTTTTGATGATCTGTCATCCTTTTCTACCAATCTTCTGACCGCTTTCATCAACAGGATGTGTATATCCACAAGTTACCATATCCCAGAGGTCAGTGTCATAGGCTAGGAAGAAACTTCAGATCATATCTTTCCAGTAGTCAAAATTTTCACCGTCAAATATCGGAGGGCTGCTACTGATGTTCTGACTTGTTCCCATCATAGTGTTTTTCCTCCTTGGATCTTTTTCTGACACGGTTAAGTGTTTGCACCCAGATTCAAGTGCTCTGATACCAACATAAGAAGTGAAAAACACAAGAAAAGGGGGGGGGGGGGGGGGGGGTTGAATTGGAATCACGAAAATCAATGAAATAACTCTTTGATTTTTATCCTGGTTCGTTTGAACTCAAACTACTCCAGTCCACCCGCCAAGGTGATTTCGCCTCTCTCCAAGGAGGTCTTAATTCACTAATCAATCTTGATTACAAAACTACTTTGACTACTGCCAAAGTCTTCTTGAGTCCAAAACCACAACCCAGTTTTTTCAAGGAAATGTCTAAACTGTTAATTGAATAAATGTGTACAATGGTGTTTCTACTAAAACAGTATCACTAACAGTGATGTTTTACACAGTTTAAGTTTGAGTGTTTAAGGATGAAAGGTGATTGTTGTGTTGTTGTAGCTTCACGTAGTTTCTTCTTTTTGTGCGCAGTAGTTCATCACCTGAAATCTTCTTTTTGTCTGCTTTATATAGGCCATGCAATATTAACATAAGAAGATACTTTTGGTATGTCCATAACATGAGTTAATGAACTTTCCAAACCAGGAGACCCTTGTCTGTTTATAGACGTTACTTATGATATTGCATTGATGGAATTGTAACACTTCAGAACTTCTCACATAAGAGGATGAATATTACCGGTGAGAGTCCTTTACAGCTTGTATCAGAAATTTGCAAATCAGAGTATCAGAGATCCTGTTTCACAACGTTGGTGCATTCAGAAGTTGTAACATAACTTCTTCATATAAGCGTATCACATAGATTTGATGCGTCTGAATCTATCATGGTACTCTCAACTTCTATGCTCGCATAAACATAACTTCTAGTGATGTTCTGGCAGAACTTCCTGTTACATCATAACATCTTTTTCACATCAGAACTTCTTACATGTAAAGATACTTTTATTAGCGAGCATATTTGTTCTTTATATCATATGTTTGTTATCATCAAAACTCTTACTGGGATGTAGAACCAAATTATGTTCTAACAAGAAGAAGAAGTTTGATTGAAATTATTCTGCTTGAGTCTTTGTGAGTTAATCACTCCCTTAGGTTTAGCCAAGTTTTTGTTTCGATTAGCTTTATGACTTATGCCTTGTTTGTTAACTAAAATACATTACAACCTTAAAAAGCCTTTGTGACTCTCGCCTTTGTATTTTCAATATGAGTTTTTGGATGAATGCATAATTTAGTCTATTGTTTGCAAGATTGTGGATGAGTGTTTTTTGCCCCTCACTTTTGTGTGTTCTTCATCTATCGATGAATTTTTAATAGGTGTGATTCATGATTGAGATTTTTTTTTTGTTTTATAATGTTTAGTATGATTTTTGTACTTAGGATTCGTTTTGTTTACATGTTGTCGTTGTAGGATTGTGGTAAGTATTTACCTTGCGTGTGCATTTTTGTTTGAACCATACATTTGTTTTCCGTTTTAAAACTTGTTGATTCATGATATTTTGGTTGATTACTTTTGGTTCTTTGATTTGTTTGGCCTTGTTTGAGGACAAACAAGTTCAAGTGGGGGAGAGTTTGATAAGTGCAAATTGTAGCTATTTTTGTATATACTTTTTGTTGCACTTATCGACTATTTGTTGTTAATATCGTTGACTAAACCTGACTTTTGTGTAAATACATTTAGTTTGTATTTGTTTGTGTTTTTGCATACATAGTGTACCGTTTGATGTTTTTTCATTGATTTTGTAGATATTTATTGCATTTTGGAGCATTGAGGAATAAGGTTTCGAAGGCATGACTCCGAATGCGTGTTTTTGAAATGAAAGACCAATTCTTCCCAGGAGAGCCTACTTAGCATGCAAAAGGCCGCTAAGCATGAGTGCGCTCAACGCATTTTGTAGTGTGCTGCTTGCGTTTTGATATTTTGGCAGAAACATTATTTTGAAGCCCACTCAGCGCAGATATCGCACTTAGCGCAGTTTAGGGCGGTTTGATGTGTAAAATAAAGAAGTCCCGCTTAGCGCGTCAGGCCCGCTTAGCGCGGTCTGTTGAGATTTGTTTTATAAATTCATTTCATTCATTTGTTAGGTTATGGTTTTGGGGAAGTTTTTGCTCCTAACTCCATCAACCTTTAATTTTGTTAGGATTAACTTAGATAACAACTATGGAGCTTGCATACAGATGATCCGAGGTGGATTGCTCTTTGATTAACACTGACAAACTGGTAGATTTATGGTTCATTTTTATTTTTATTTGTGTATTCTCTTTTGGTTGGGTTGGTACATGTATTTTCTTTGAACTCATGTATATTTGTCGCCCTTGGCCTTATATAAAACTTGCTTTACACATCTTTGTCAATTGTTATCCTTGACTTTTGCTCTGTGCTAGGGATTTGATTTTCTATAGACATATACTGCGTGAATTCTTATCTATGATGATTATCTAATAGTGTATGAATTCTAGAGATAGATTTAGCGTTGTTATTCACTTAGGGCGTCTGTGATTAATGCCTATGTGTTGTTTGTGTCGCTCAGAGAGATCATCAATGCAAGCAAGCATGGTTGACTTCTGTGTTGTTAAGGTTGGTTGATAGATCGCTGCCGAGGTGATACAATGGGTGTTATGTTTGACACGTGATGACATTGATGAATATTGTAGGTTTAGTATAACAGGTCGATAGGTTTAAGTCTGTGAGAAGTAGTATATGCATGCTTGATAAGTTATTCATATTTCCTTTTTATAGATTTATTTTCTGTTGATACCATTACTTTCAACCCATTTATCCCCAAACTCATTAACAAGAGATTTGTCGAACGACAATTCAATTCACCAATCTCTATGGAAACAATATGATATAACCTAAATATCACCCGGTAAATTAATAACTTACTTTTTGTTTGCCGCTTTACCGCACCAGCATACATACCTACTTCCCATACCACCCACACATTCCTCACCCTCAATCCAGCTCACTCATAAAACTTGTTGCCCAATTCTCATCCTCTCAATTCACTCTCCAAATTTCCCCCTCAATTATCACTTATCCCTTCTATATAAACAACCTCAATTCACCACATTTTCACACAAAAAAATCTCATAGAAAAAAAAAATAGAAAAACTCATCTTTAGTATTCATTATTCAATCTCTAGAAGAATCACCAAGAAAAAACTCAGAATATCTCTCTCGGAAAACTGCAACCTTATTTGCTCTCATCTTCATCGCATACACCACTGCACTTTTTATCTTTATCA